AAAGAAAAGGAGATACAAAGAAAGAAAGTAAAAAGGCTTTGAAAGTTACCTGTCACGATCAGAGACAAGAAAACAGAGAGAGAAAGTAACCAGAAAAAGCTTCAAAGTTATCCGACATGATCACTAAGGGAAGCGCAAGACCCTCGCTATAAAGACCACAGACCCATTACCTCTGAGTCAAATGGAGGATCTTGAGACCAATCCGCGGGAGACTTTGGCCGCCGTGGCAATATTACGTCGTCAGGAGGCGAAGCGGGACTCGTGAGGTCCTCAGTTGAAGGAGTCTTAAGTGTTGGCGATTACGGCGATGACCTCAGCGAGTCCCCCTCCCTGCGCAGGAGCTCATCACATGCAACTGTGACATGCAACCTCCGAGACGCGTTAGGAAACGTCCTTTATGATGTTCTGTTTCGTTTCAGGTGCAGTGAGGCGGTCGTGGCCGGCGGGAGGAAGGCCGGGCGCGAGCGGTGGTGGGGAGCGGCGTGTGTCTGCGGAGGAAGGGATGGATGCGGAAGGGAAACGGATCTCTGAGGGTTCGGGTTTAGTGCGGTGTTGAAGGCGTGTCAGTGGCGGCTGGTTGATTGTTTTTGTGCGGGGAGAACCATTGCGTTGTGATGAGGGATTAGAAGATAGGCGATTGGGTCGCAGTGAAACCGAGAGGGATGTGGTTCGATTGAGGAAGCCTAGCGGATGTTGGTGATCGAGAGTGGAAACCGTTCGACATGGCATCCTTCCTGCAGTACGCCCTTTCGCCGTTCCCGAGGCGACGGTCTCGCAAAAGCGAACGCGACCGGGCTTCCACCGCCTCCCAGGACACCGGCAGTACCTCCAGCACGCCCACGCCGCCCTCGCCCGCCCCGAAGACGCGGTCGGTGGGCATTCAGACGCCGGTGCTCCAGCGGCGAGCGTTCGGCTCCGAGGACATCCCGGGGACGCCCACCGCCTTCAGGAGACTCAAGGACAAGACGCGGGGATGGCAGGCGTCGCCCTTGCTCAGCCGGCGCGGCTCGCAGGCCACCCTTCGCGAGGGGAGCGCCACGCCCATAGCCTCGAGAAAGGGGATCTCTCCGCCCGCAGAAGCCCTGCACTCGCCCACGCCCTCGCGCAGGTAAGCCAATAAGCGCACTTGTAGATAAGCTTCCTAAGCTACCGATTTCTTTTTCATACTTCTACTTACTTTTAATATGTTTATGAGATCTAGCAGACCAATAGGGCTCTTACTCAGTTGTTATATCAAGTTTAGTTAATAAAAAAAAAAAAAAAAAAAAAAAAATAGATACACGCAGCCAATCTAATTTGCAATTTGCATTATTTATCTACCTATCTATCTATATAATACTAAACTATCGCATTAGATATCTCTGCCCTACAAAGCTTCAACTAATACCAGGAGAGAGAGACAGAGAGGGGGAGGAGATAAGGTGAGAGAGACGGGGGGAGAAAGAGAGGGGAAAGAGAAACAGAGAGAATTGGGAAGAAAGAGAGTTGGGAAGAAGGGTGAAGAGAGAGAGAGAGAGAGAAGAGAGAGAGAAAGGAGAGAGAAGAGGGGAGAGATAGGGAGAGAGGGGAGAGAGGGAGAGATAAGAGAGGGGAGAGAGAGAGGTAGAGATAGAGAGAGAGAGAGAGAGAGAGGTAGAGAGAGATAGGAGGGGAGAGAGAGAGGTAGAGATAGAGAGGGGAGAGAGAGAGGTAGAGATAGAGAGGGAGAAGAGAGGTGGAGGAGAAGAGGGAGAGAAGAGAGAGGAGAGAGAAAGAGAAAGGAAAGAGAGAGAAGGGGAGAGAAAGAGAAAGGAAAGAGAAAGAGAGAAAGGATTGAGAGATTGAGCGAAGAGAGAGAGAGAGAGAGAGAAAGGAAAGAGATAGATAGATAGATAGATAGATAGATAGATAGATAAATAGGTAGATAGATAGAGACAGACAGACAGACAGACAGAGAGAGAGAAGGAGATAGAAAGAAGAGAGAGAAAGAGAAGATAGAGAGAGATTAAGATTAAGAGAGAAAGAGAAAAAAACGTATTGCACTAAAAACGTACTTGAAGAAGACCGATGATGATAGAAATCAGCGACGGGGGAAGATGGACGCGGAGTCCGGGGAAGACTCGCCAGACAGACGACCCAATCCATTCGCTGTTGTGTTGGCTTAAAAAAAAAAAAAGAAAGAAAAAAAAAAAAAAAAAAAAAAAAAAAAAAAAGGTACTTGTCTCTACTTCATGCTCAAATAAAATAAAATAGAGAGAAATTAAAATTATCTACCTAATTTTAATTTCTCTCTATTTAATTTTATTTGTCTTTTGTCTACCTAATTTTTATTTCTCTTTATTTCATTTAATTTGTCTTTTATCTGCCAATTTTTTTATTCCTTTACTTATTTATTTTATCTTTTATCTACTAATTTTTATTTCTCTTTGTTTTTTATTTTTATTTGTATTTTTGTCTACCAATTTTCATTTCTCTATTTTATTCCATTTTATTCTTATATCTACCATATTTTTATTTCTTT